GAGAGAGAGAGAGAGAGAGAGAGAGAGAGAGAGCAAATATTTTTCAGTCATGCAATGGTTTGTCCGATCAATACATGCCTTTCGGTACTGAAAATTTTGTGCCACAAATAGAGTATAGTATTGAATGAATGAATGGATGAGAGATATATTGAGAAAAATTCTTGTATGTCTCACAAAATAAGTTAAGATTCTCTCTCTCTCTCTCTCTCTCTCTCTCTATCTCAAGTTAGATTGAATAATAGATTCTGTGTTAGTGTAGAATATTTGTCACTATATACTGTATATACAGTTCTTTGCAAGAATATTCTGCTTTATCCCCCGTCTATATTCACGCATTCACAGAATTTACAGAATATTCTGTGATATTTACACAGACATATCAAATGGTATTGAAAAACAGCGTATAGTTACTAAAACTACATGCGATGTCTACTGTAACGTACAGTATATATACGTTATTATATAGATATACAGGTCGGCGCCGCCACACTCACCATCCCTGGGCTTATCTGGCATTTATTTTATTGAATTTTATATTTAATTTATATGTTTAACAAAATAAAAACTAATATCATTTAATGCTTGGGCTCTACTGTTCAGAGAGCTATAGCTTTCGTTACAAATGCATGGATTGATAGAAAATTCACGAGAAATCAAGAATTCAATTACTTTAATGAGAGTTAGAAACTATAATAATATAAAATTGAAATAAAATTATATCTCATTTTCTAATATAAAGTACTTTTTTATAATTAAATGATAAATTGTTTCCAAGAATTTTAGACGAATACACAAAATACCTGTTTTTATATCTATTTTTCCATTTATTTTATATTAATTAAACCAATTATACGGTTATATTTCAAATCAACAAATTTTGTATAATTATGGAAAATATATTAGAGAGAGAGAGAGAGAGAGAGAGAGAGAGAGAGAGAGAGAGATGTGATTATATTTCTAACAAATATAAAATTACCTGTTATTGAAATAATAATGTTGAAATCTGATTTTATACCTTATTTAGATATCTTAATTAATAACATTAATCTAATAACTGATATTTCTAGGATATTATTTTTAGAAATCATTATTATTTAATTAAATATTGAAAACTTTAAAATATAATAAGTTTATAATAAAATCATGCGCGATCTAAAATCAAATGCATGTGAATACAAATTGATCAATTAATGAATTAATGAACTAATTAACTATTTTCACTGCATTTCCCATAGACTCAAAGGGCAATCCGCGAAACACGACTAATAGTAAGGGAAAGAAACGCAAACCGGGATCCAAACCCTTAAGTCAGGCGCTCAACTGTAATGACAACGATTTACTACTTTCAATGCATTTCCCATAGACTCAAAGGGCAATCCGCGAAACACGACTAATAGTAAGGGAAAGAAACGCAAACCGGGATCCAAACCCTTAAGTCAGGCGCTCAACTGTAATGACAACGATTTTGTCGACTTTCTCAGCCGATGCCTCGAGTGAGTGCTCTCAACACTAATTAATTCATATTAATTCATACAATCGATATTTAATGTGCACAATAGATATACATGTATATAATAACTGTCTATTTGATGATGATCACATTTATAAATTAATATTAATCACTTTGTAATTAATGGCGTTAAGAATATTCTACGATAATTTATTAGTGTAGAATTTAACAATTTTATTTTAATTGATCATGATCAAAAACAAAAATATGTACATGCAGTATATTAAACGATACATGTTAAACCATCAATTTAATTTAATTATCACGAAATTAATCCATGTACTTTTGAATAATAACCTAGGTGGAATCCGATGCATCGACTGACCCCGGACGAGGCCTGTAAGCACGTATGGCTGGCCGGACATTACAATCATATCAATACACTGAATAACAATCACAACAACATTAGTAATAATTTAAATAATAAATTGGAGTCCAATAACCGGAGGACCAGTAATACTGCCANAACAATCACAACAACATTAGTAATAATTTAAATAATAAATTGGAGTCCAATAACCGGAGGACCAGTAATACTGCCAAATCGATTCAGTCGTTAACTGTCAGGGAAATTGAAACAGGTTGGTTATTTAAACATTACTTACTATATCATAATCTATTTAAATTGGTACAAATTGTATTATTTACGATTTATCATGTAGTCCACTTTTTAAATATAAATTTATATAAGTATATGCACTCGATTAGTTTATAAATGTGATTGGTTGGTTGTGATTTATTTTATTTGTTTGATTTAAACTGAATATGGTTTTAATCGTAGCCTTTTTACTAATGCCCAAATAATTACAATTGAATTACTAGTAGATTATCCCCGATGTTTGCACGCTATGCACGATATATTGTAGATGAGTTTGTAACGTTATAAATTATAACTAATTGATTATTTTAAAATTATGATCAAAGTAATTTAATCAAATTACCAATATCATGGTTAAATTTAAACGTACAAAAAATGATCAATACATTTAAATATCGTTATAAAGTACTGATTAGCGTTGGTTTTTATATTGAAATTAATTATTAAAAGTTTTACTTTAACGATATTTAAATGTAAATATTTAAATGCATTGTTTGATTAAAATAAACTAATAACTAATGAATTGTTTTTCAAAATAAATTTCTAAACACTAATTATAGACTCGAATGTATATAAAGTATCGCGAATACAGACTAATCCGCGCAAATTGAGTTCAGTTACGGCCAAAACTAATACACTAATTGTCCAGAAAAAGCTCGTCCAG